CGCGGTCTCTGAGACCCCAGTTATAAACATGATTACATGTCCTACTGACAGCGCTCAAAGTGACTGAATAATTATTTTATGCATCAGGTGGGATCGTGAAGCGCCAGTTTTTTCAATCCAGCTGTCCCGACCTTCTGATGCTTCTGACATTTTGGCATGACGTTCGAAGCTTCAAACGTCATCAATCACGTGGTGTTGTCATTTCGATACAAGCATCGGCACAGTGTGTGATACAATAGTGGTTTGAAAACTGCATCGGAGCTGCGGTATCAATTGTCCCATCACTAATTATTAACACTTTTGTCTCATATAATATATAAAACCTTACAAGAAAGACTTACAAGAAATCACCTTATCAAACAGCAAAAGGCACTCGTTTTTCTTGCATGACCCAGATAGCTGATGCATAGTCTGATTTGTTTGCACTTGCTTAATTCACTAGCTTACATATGGTGCTGAATACTGATGCCGATTTTTAATAGATCAGTGAAAAATCAGCAGGCTGGCAAAGACATTCACATTAATGGCTTGCATAAAAGCTGCACTTTCAAAGCAGTGCTTCTTGGTTGGCCACCAGTGAAGCTCTTTTATGAAATCTCATTCACACTTCCTTTAGGGAATAATGGTAGAAATTCATTAACATCATGAACATTTAAACTAGGAACATAAAGCAACTGCAGTATTTTCACAGATGGGTGTTTAGCAAAAACAGCACAGATACTCTATGGACAACTGCAGTTATTAGTAGCATTGCCACTTGCAGCAACTTCCCAAACTTTCGCATATATTCAGTTGTTTTGTCACTGCGTTGATTATTTGGCATATTTATTCGTCGCCTTGTACTCAAGTCTACCTTGTAGTTGACTTTCAAATGTAGTGATGTTTATTATTCAGATGGTTTCTGTAAAAGAAAGATGCATTACCATAGCAAAGATGTTTCTTCAGACGCACAACCCTCTGTTAACATGCCGTCAAACAACTACTAAAACGTCCTTGGAATATCTGTCATGTGTGTGACGGTGGGGAACTGATGCCTGATAGTCAAAGGACTTCAGCATGTTTGAATTTCTCTGTTTATGCATCCTGTTGTTTCTGCTCAATTAATCTTTCTTTTTGCTGTTTTATGTTCGAGGACGTCCTTACGCTTATAGCATCCACTTACAAACTCTCGACAGGGCATACATCAGATCTAATGTGATATAACCTCATAAATATTCGGTGAAATAAACGGATATTTCCTGTTTTCTGAAGTGACATTTTGGTCCATTGACCAAAATGCCTTGTTTTTCTTTTCCCAGCATGCTGAAGTGTGAGTTAGCGTGAGTGCAGTGCGGTTGAAGTTGGCAGACTGTTTGGCATTTGGCCTGACAGCATGTGTACGTCAGTGCTTTAGGTTTTTGGGGAGTTTCTCAGCACTTACACGCTCACACCGTCGAAAGCTCTGCTAGTCTGTGTCACCTGTCGCTGTTCACCTTCATGAGAAATTTGCGGCATGCTAGCTGTCCTTTTCAAAAAACTGCCTTAGAAAAGGTCACAAAATACTTCCAGAATTGTATAAAAACTGACTGTTTGACGACTCAAGATCGAAGGGTTTAAGATGCTGAACATAAAACTTACGCCTATCATCAAATTTCAACACTATTCAGTGGTGCTAGCTAGAAGAAACAAATGTATGAAACTACAGAACAAATCTTATGCTACAATGCAGCTTGTTGCGGAGAGGTTTGCTTTTCCTTTTTAATATGTATCTCAATTCTCAATACTTTTGTCATTTCGTCTGAATATCAACATTTGTGGGATTTAGTCAGTCAAAACAGTTTGAAAGTTAACTGATCTAATTTTGTGTCTCTGGAAAATATGGTTCTTTGACATTGTGCTATAGAATATCAACGTTTTTTGTGTGTCTAATTGTGATTGAGGGATTTGTGGACACATCAATGTTTTAGATTTGTGTAGTAAAAATGATAGTTTTTTTTATTGTGAATAAAAAAAGGCCCCACGTTGCAGATTTTATATGTAATGTAATTAATGGGGTTATTATTCACAATTTCCATGAATTAGATACATTTCAAACATCTTCGCTTTTCATTAAAACCTATAGGCTAATTAAGTGAAAGCATTCGATTTGCATTCATAATGTTGCAATTATGACTTATCCTCAATTAAAATATGGGCAATTAAATATGTAAACATACGTAAACAAAAAGTCCACTTTTGTCTATCATTGATTATTCAATTATTCAGCTAAATTGCCATATACAAGTACAATTTTAAAATAGAATAGCTATCTATCTATCTATCTATCTATCTATCTGCATATTTTTTTGTATTTTTATTGTTCATTATTCATAGTTTCTAACCAAGGACATTTTTATTTATCATTATATGATGCCTTTATTTTTGCTTTTATAATTTCCTTTCCTTTTATTAAGAAAACTATCCCATATATTAAGTTTATTATAGGCATTAAACTTTAACACACTCTCATAAAGTCACATGCTAATTATACACCAACATGATGACCCGATCTATAATGCTTTCTCATATCAGCAGCCACAAACTCATCAGCTTGACTGTCCTGACACATCAAGGGACAGTAATTGATATTCTCTTGAAGTTGAGCATCATTATGAAAGATAATTTGTCTCCTAAAATCTTCCATGACTTCAGGCGATTACATCCTGTTGATTTCCTTGACAAGCCGGAGTATAAATATGATCTATTACCTTAGTAAATGTCCTTATTTTATTCCAGTCCTCTTAGTTGACATTCTTCGGGTGGTTGTATACTGTAAAAGCGAGCATCAAAATGTATATGTGGCTTAAAGGAATTAAAATCTTTTGATTCACGTCAAGCTGGATCTCCAAGTACATCCTGAGCTGAAAGAAAGGTTGCATGTATCGCAGTTGCACAACATGTCGAGCCTGTCGAGCCATGAATGAACACTAAAAGGATTTATGCGCAAGGAGCAGTCGGGTTTGTTCCACCTGAAGAGTACAGAGTCTCGCAGGTCCCCTGGGCACCTGAATGCACATGGGAGAGGAAATGCTGGCATTGTTTTGTGTGTAGGTGGAAAGCTTGAGTGTCTGATAACCAATGACCTTGAAGTGCCTTTCTGTAAGTAGATTGTGCTAATTTAGTCACTAGAGAAAAACATTCGGGTTAGTTTTCTTGCTCTTGCTCAAGGACAAAGACACCAGTGAAGCAGATTCTTGTTAATTATATGAATATGCAGTATAGTTTTAATTCTCATTTTGATTAAAGTTTGATTAGATTCAGTTTGTTTGGGTGTATTTAAGTTACTTTGTCCATTTTGCATACAAAAAAAATATTCACTTCACTTCATGTTGAGATCAAAAAATGGAATATATTTTCTTTCTCTTTGTTTTTGTTTTTTTATATCAATATGGCTCATGGCCATATGGTTCAAGTTTAAAACAAGTTAGATAAAAAGTAATCTAAAAGTAATCTAAAAACTAGTAAGAATACATTACCTAAAACGAGTAACCCAGATTACATTACTAACAGTTCTCATCATGTAAGCTGTAATCAGTAAAGGACTACAATTTGTGAGCGATCCACTCAGCTCTACTTGCATAGTTCAGTATCTCCATTTAGTTTTACAGGGGTGTTTACACGACACCATTTTCAATTAAAAATTTAAAACTTTTTATGTGTTTTGGCCGTTCATTTACATAACAGTGCCGTTTTAGGAGTCTGAAAATGCCAACTTTTGAAAATGGGTTTTTAAGTGCAAGCTTTTGAAAACGATACCGTTATTGCCTCTGTGTAAACTACAAAAACGAATATGTGAAAACAGTGATGTCATGCCTATGTGTATTACGTGTTCAGTCTATAGAAATGCATATGTGCGCAGTGTTACGTATCCGGTCCATGAACTTCCGTCTGCTAGCCATCAGAGGTCACCCTTTCCATTTTCATTGACTCTCGCACGACACACTGTTGCATATCACCCCGGACTACATATCCCATCATTCATTGCACTGATTGCACACAGCACTGATTGCACACAGCTGTTTCATATCACTCACTCACTATTTAACACTCAATCTCACTCCTTTCTAACTGCCGAGTATTGTTTAGCGCTTATCATTTGATAGCTACACTACAGAGCCCTCGTTAGTTTACCCTGCCTTAGCCTAGTCTTGCCTTGTCTGTTTTCTCGGTTTCTGATCCTTGCCTGGTTTCCTGGCAGCCCTGTAACACGCAGATGCGTAGTGTTTACAAAGTGATATCGCCAACTACTGGCCTGACATGCGTAATACAGCGTTTTTAGTATATTTCGCAGATCCTTCTGAACAGGGATTGTTTAACAATGTTGTTGTCTGTTTGTGAAACTTTTCAAAAACGCAAAGGAAAAACGTTTCTGTTTTTAGTACAATCATTGTCGTTTAAACGTACCTTAATTTTGTCTCTGTGGATGGAGACCAGAAAGAATCTGGAATAGAAATCCTGGAGTTTAAGATGGACTATTGGTAAAGCACGTCTAGAGGACAATGATGTTTGCCTATCCACCTTGAGGCCAAAGTCAATATCGAGGTGTTTAACATATTAATGGGAAATTAATCTGATAATGCTACCGTTAACAAAACTCCCCACAGTGAACCGTAAAGATAAATAAGCAAACAAATAGAAAATGTAATTTGAAGAGATGTAATAAATACTAGGGTGTCATTTGTGTGAAAGGCCATACATATGCTATATGTACAGTCAGGTCCGGAAGTATTCAAACACTGACTGAGTTTTTGTGCTTTTGCCTTTATACACCACAACAATGGATTTGAAATAAAACAATCAAGATGTGATTGAAGTGCAGACTTTTAGCTTTATTTTAACCCTCTATGGGATATCGCCATTTATAAATGACGCTAAGAAAATTGCATTTAAAATACAATATTAATGTTCAACCAACAAAATGTTATTTTAGTGATGTCAAATGACATCCCCTTCAAGCAGTAAAATTTAAATGTATTGGCCATGTGCTTCACATTTTTGGTAACTAAGTAGTAAAGGAGACATTAGCACATGTTAGGTCACATGCTCTCAAGGCTCCACAGTGAGCTAATTTTAGACTAGAAAATACATATAAATTCAAGTTATAAAAAATATAAGGTAACACTTTATTTCAATAGTCCACTTTAGACATTCTATTAACAGTAAGTAACTTTGCAACTACATGTCAACTAACAGTTAGTAGAGTATTAGTAGACTGTCTGCTTAATATCTTCTAACACTTTGTCAACTTATTCTACTAACCCTAAACCTACCCTAACAGTCTACTCTGAGAGTTAGTAGACATGTAGTTGCAAATTAATGAGAATTAGTTGACATGTAGTTGACATGTAGTTACAAAGTTACTTATAGTTAATAGAATGTCTAAAGTGGACTATCGAAATAAAGTGTTACCAAATTAAAAATCAGATAGTGAAAAAGCATTTGATTGTGTGTGAAGTTTCAGACAATTTATCAAAAATAATTTACGCTAATGGGACAACGTCAGTTATAAATGACGGATCCCTAAAAAAAAGGTCAAAGGTCAGATGAAGAAAACAAATTTTGGAAAATGATTTTACTCCTAAATATATGTAAAATATAAAGTCATTTATTTTTTAAGCTGTAAATTCACAATTAGTCCTATACAGGGTTAAGAGGTTCCACAAAAATATTTACCATTTAGGAGTTACAGCCAATTTAAGTACCTCCGATTTCAGGGAGTCTTTAAAATGTACAAAAAAAAAAAAAAAATGTTTGGTTTGATTAATATTTGGTTCTATGATACAATGCATACACTTTACACGTCCAAATATCCAAAAGAAGGATTTGTTTAAATGGAAATGCCTCAGTTTAAACACATCGCTCATGGATGAATGATGATTTTTTTTGCAGACTCTATTGTCCTAAAAGCCCATGACCCTCAAGCTTGAGTTAGACATACTGATGCGTAATGAAACAAACATGGACGTCTGACTGACATTCATCTGCCACTATTTCATTTATACAGTCACAGACATCCAGAGGCGTCATGCCCATTCAAAGTGAGGGGGCACGTGCCCCCTCAGATTTTTGAGCCAAGTGGATTTTGAATGCAGCTTCCAAAAGACAAAAAATAACCGATTAATATTTTCTATATTTAATACAATCACACGGGCGTGATTAGAACGCTCAGTGCACCATATCATCAGCTGCTAAATCCAAATCTGCTTTCGCTGGCTGGCACTGAGCCAGATACAGACGCGATTTTACAGCACTGCACATTAACCAATCACACACGATGCTGTTGAGCTTATGAATGCAATGACCAATCAGAGGTGTTCAGATGAGTCATCGCTAAAATGCTGGTGTTTTCTTCACTCGCTCGCTGAATGAATACCTCTTTCTGGTGAATTCTCTCATCAGATACAACAAAGTGCAAATGTGTGTACGAATCTGTAAGATATTCATGATATAGTTAATGCGTTTGGGGATGTTTCGAATAAAAAGGAAAAAATAAATAAAATCTAAGTTCTGTTGTGGCTGCTGTGTGTCACATGACGTGCCCCCTCAAAAATAATGAGTGCATGACGCCCCTGCAGACATCTACTGTCATTTTCATTGCATCAATCAATATAAATGTAAAAATTGAATTAGTTCATTGGATATGTCCTTTAACTCTGTGGGGAAAAAAAATGCAAAGCTGGTAAACACTGGTTGAGTAAATGCACAATTATTTAGCTGGGATTTCATTCTGATCTGTAATTATAGGGTAAACATATCATTTGTTCAGTCAAGAACCAATTAAACACATAATGGTTAATCATAACTGGCTTCTCTCGCTGAGAACCCAGAAAAACAATATTTCAAAACATTTGCCTTTGTTTAGAAAGGCATAGAATCGTTTGTAGGGTGTAAATATATAAAGAAAATTAGACTTTGCTCTGAGCTGATTAGAACTTATGGCTGTTGGGTCTGCTTAATCAGAACCATTGTTGCCCAGAAATAAACGGATTAAATTCTACATTAAATTTCAAAGAACATAGCTTAAATCACATTTACACAGTCACTTATGTTGAATATATATATATATATATATATATATATATTCACCAAAAACTGTTTTCAACATTTATTAAAATAAGAATAGTCACCAAATCAGCATATTTCTGAAGGATCATGTGACACTGAAGACTGGAGTAATGGCTGCTGCTGAAAATTCAATAAATTACATCTTAACATATATTAATATAGAAGATAGTTATTTTAAATTGTAATAATATTTCACAATTTTACTGTATTTTTAATCAAAAATGCAGCCTTGTTGAGCCTTGAGTCTTCGTTCAATACAAAATAATAATAATAATAATAACAGTGTATTTCACTGTATATATTACATATATGTGATCCATTACTAGTCAGAGCTTATTGAGTCAGTTACTATAGTTAGTATAAACCTATGGTATACTAATTAAAGGGATAGTTCACCCCAAAATGAGAATTCTGTCATCATGTACTCACTCTCAAGTAGCCATTGACCTCCATAGTGTTTTTTTTTCTTTTTCTCCATACTGTGTGGAAGTCAGTGGCTACTGTCAACAGTTCGCTTACCAACATTCTTCAAAATGTCTTCTTTCATTTTCAACAGAAGAAAGATACTCATACAGGTTTGGAACAACATGAGGGTGCGTAAATGATAACATAATTTTCATTTTTGGGTGAACTAAGCAGGTTCTAACTCTACATCACTCTCACATCTGTCACTATGCTTTAGCAGAGTAAAAAAGAAAATCCTCTAGTTATTCATATTTGCATTCACATATGCTGGCCCTTCAGGAAGTGCTAACAACAATGTACGTTCTACTGCCAGGTGATTGACCACAGAGTCAGAGAACTGATGGAGCTCATAATAGTAGGGCAACTCCAGATGACCATGCTACTGTAGCTCTTTAGTAGGGCTGTGCGATATTGAAGAAAAATGCGATATGCGATAACTCATTAAATAATGCGATATTCGATATGCGATACGATAATGCTTAAAGTGCCACATGCTCACATGAAACAGTTTTACTCAGCTGTTGCTGAGCATAATTTCGATATATTGCACAGCCCTACTCTTTAGTACAACACATTTATTTTCTGTGGTCCGTTGGTGTTGGCTCTCTTCTGCTTGATGATCTGAGCCAAAGGAGCTGGGTGTAATGTCTTTAAAATTGTCTTCTAGTGCTGTAATCCTGCACAGAGTCACAAGAGTGTTAACTCTAATAAGATAGTAAACCTGAGATTTGCATACTCTAATTGAGCATGATTAAAATGTATAGCATGCTGGCCTTGAATGCATTTCGTCTGCTCTCAGCTTCAAAGCAATTTATTGAAAATCAGGGAGCAATTTTAGCAGGCCTCAGTGTTCGAACAAACTATGACCCTGTTTTTGAATACCTGCAACAATTTTGCTGTTTGCATGTAATGCACATCTAGTTTTTGCCACTGCTGTTGGAATTTAAACATATGAGGGTGGTTTCTATGGAAACCCATCAGTTGTCATTATGCGTCTTCTGTGTGCTTGAGGAAACAAGAAAGCATCTCTCCGTTTATGTATTTATCTATCTATTTATGGAGACTCTGAAGGGTTACCAAGTATATCAGCAGCGATATCTCAGTACATTTACATACTGTATATTGACATTAGCCTCTGCAAATATTGTCCTATATTCATTCGTCATCCCTATGCATGAATTGGTGTTTTGTAAACAGGGCACCTTTGGAAAAATTGACTCTTTAGAAAATAAATTCTCCTAAAACAGTGAACATGTATGCATCACAAGAGAAGCCAGCCTTTTTTTTGTCAAATTTCTAAGAAAATAAATTATATTTTAAACATTTTTAGAACAAAAAGACTCCTATGACTTGCTAGGCTAATTAAATAAGTATTATATATATAAATGATACTTTATATATCATTATCATTGATATATCATATATCATTATATACTATATATATATATATATATATATATATATATATATAAACAACAATACTGACATTTATTATAATAAGAAATAAGAATGTTTCTTAAGTACAAATCAGCATATTAGAATGATTTCTAAAGGATCATGTGACACTGAAGACTGGAGTAATGATGCTGAAAATTCAGCAATCACAGGAATAAATTGCATTTTAAAATATATTAAAATAGAAAACAATTATTTTAAATCTTAATAATATTTTCCATACCTCTCAAAAAACATTAAAACATTAAAACTTTTGAACGGTAGTGTTTGGATTTTAATGGTTTAATATTGAAAGTCTGGGTCTGGAACAACAGCAAGACAGCAAAATCGATAAATAAATGGCCTTTGAAAAGTAGAAAAACTAGAGGATGAAGCCACCGTCAAACGTTTCTGGGAAACTTTTA